GGATGCGCTGTTCCTCCTGGCACCCACTGGATCTTAATTCGACCCCGACCCCCTGGTATTTGGTAGCTCTTGGGGAGTGCTTTGCCCCAGGATGTGCCTCTGGGGCTGCGTGTGTGAGGTTGCTGGGACCCGTGGTGGTGAGAGCCCTTACCTTGCTGGTCCTCAGGGCCACCACGGAGCTCCCTGGGGACGAAGGAGCCGGGGCTTCACATTTTGTGGCCCTCAGGGGAAGGCCAAGAGCAGGCTTGCGCTGGGGTGGTGTGGGTGGGAGCCAGCCCCTCTCCTCCCTCTCCCTGCTGCACTTTAATGGTGGTGGAGGGAGAAGGGGGATGAGTGCCGGGATGCCCAGGTACCTTTGCAGGGGACGGCTCATGCAGGGCTGGGGAGGCTCAGGGTGGGGGGACGGCTTTGGGCCCCTCCTGCTACCCTTTTCTCTCTGTTGTATAAAGCTGATTTCTTTGGCGCTGTCCTGACAAGAGCTTCCAGAGCTTGTAATCAATGCCTCCCCCTCCTTTTTACAAGTTTGGTTGGTTTGTGTTGGTTTTTTTTTTTTTTTTTTTCTTAAATAAATTAGTTCTGACTTCCATTTCTCAGTGCTCTGATGCCTGTCTGTTTTTTGGCAGTAGGCTCCTCAGTGCTGACGAGGGAGAGGACGTTTACACCAGGACACCAGGCGGGACGGCAGGGCAGGAGGGTACAGGGGATGGGAGAGCGATGGTTCCCTTTAGCTTTCTGCTGCATTCATTTTTTTAGGAGGAGGAGGGAGAGCCACTGAAAGGAAAACCAACCCCAAATACTCAGCATATGGGCTGCATGTGGACATGGGGAGCCTGCGCATCAGCTGTGGCCCAGGCGTGGTGGCAGTCAAGGGCCCCTTGTCGCTGCAGCCTGGAGGTTTAAGGGCTGTAGGGTCCCGCTTGTGTGGGAAGTGCGTGGGGTCTCTGTGGGATCGCACAACCTTTATCAGCTCTGTTGCCACTAGGTGACACTCTTGATCCAGCGCGTTTCGTGTCATCCAGATGTTCCTGGCCTCCAGGAGTTCCTCTGGAGTGGAGAAAGAACTTGGACATGGACATGGACATCCCTTCATGGGTGAGGAGGGGACCCAGTTGCCTTGGTGGAAAACCAGTGAGCTCTTCCCAAGGGTGTTCGGATCAAGCGTTCCCTGGGCAGGGCAGAGGGTGCCCTTGCAAATCTCGCATCCCGCTGATGCCGGTGTGGTCGTGCCCTCAGAAACGGATCAGATGATGCTCCCTTGTCTGAGCCCGAACCTGGGGGAGGTCCCGTCTGCTCCCGCAGGGGCAGGAGGCTGTGCCGTGCAGCCAGCTCTTTGAGTCCTGGGCTCTGGGGGCTCCGTGCAAGTTTGGAGAGCAGCTCTCTGGGTGGTGAAGTGGGAGAGGGTTTGCGTTAAGGCAGCAATTGCCACAACGAAGGACCCCAGCAGGGGTGGAGGTGTTCTGTGCATTAAGATAATTTTTTTTAGGCTGTGAAGTGTCCTCTCAAGGACAGGAGCTTTACGGGAGAGCCAGGAGGCAGGAAAAGGTGGAGAAACCCATGTTGTCACTGACCACCATCACGTGGCCCTTTTATTAGTGTACAGTGAAAACAGGAGCTGGGTTTAGCAGGGGGACTGTTCCTATAAACTCCAGGAGCTGCAGTTCAGGGTGTTTGGAGCAGGATGTCCCCACCTCCTTTTGACACAACCTGAGCTTCAGTGGAGGCAGAGAGTTGAGGGCTGTTTTGCAGATGAAAACACCAATCTTTTAAAGGTAGCTAGCCAGGCTCCATCCTAAATCTGCCCTAAGGAGCCATCCCAGTTAAAGGATGGGATGAGATCCTGAGAGTAGATTGCACTATTGGAGGCTGCTGTGTCAAGCCCTGGACTGCCTGGATGTCCTCACCAAGGTCTTTCAGCTTTCCAGTTTCACTCACTCCGCCTCACCAACCCTTTTTTTTGCCATGTTTACACTTGGGTGGCTGTTGACAACCTGGTTTTGCTTTCCCTGCTAGTGATACTGGAGAGCAGAGCTGGTGGAAACCATGATCCTCTGCAGATGTGTCCAGAAACGCAGCGCAGGGAGAGAGCACTAACAGGCCAGCAGAGCTGCCGGAGCAGAGAAGCTTTTGCAGGGGCAACGGTAGGATTTGGACCTCATTTTAAGGCAGATTTTGTAAAAGACATTTTACATCGATCAATTCAGATTCACTTCCCCAGCAAACACATCCAAACGAAGCGTACAAAACCTCCCACGTGCCTAGCTGTGGCGGACACGCTCCTGATCCAATCTCCTTCTCTGAAACAAAAGCTCCGGAGATGAACTGAGATGCTGCTCAGGTTGGGGTGCAGCAGGGCTGAGAAGGAAACATGGCTTTGCGCTGTGGCATGACTTCCTCGCTGAGCGCTAGCGCGGACCCAGCTGGGATCAATCTGTGCTGCTGCACTGATTTATCCTAGCCGGGGAGGCTGCCGCAGTGTGGGCTTGGGGTGGGTTTTCTTGCTTGTTCCCAGCACAGATGGGACGAGGAAGTGAGGGTTTCCTGGTACAAGTGCTTTTCTAAAGAAACCTCCTGCTGCGATCAGAGCCTCGCGTGTGTGTGCTCTGCCCTGGGATGCCTGCCAGGACGGAGTGACGCAGAGGTGGCCGGGGAGGTTTGGCTGGGAGCATCCAAGGAGAGGGTCCTGGGGAAGCAGAGGGAGGGCAGACGCCGTGCACAAACTCCCAGGAGAGCTTGTCCTGCTGCGAGTGACGGCAGCTGTTTCCCAGTGAACAGCTTTCCAGTGGCACGGAGATCCTGGGGGAATATGGGCTGCGTATGGGCCGGGTCCGTGCACAGAGGTGAGCCCTGCTTTGCGTCCCTTGGTCGAGAGACCTGAATTGCCCGTTCAGCCACTGAGAAAAGCAGACAAAGTTGTTGAAAAAGTGATTAGAAAAGTAGATGTTGGTAAAAGAGACAAATTTCTGTTCCGGGGCGGGTGGCTGGGGCAGCGCAGATGGCGCTGGGGGTGCAGCGGGACAGGGCTGGTGGGCGTGCAGCGTGCACAGCTGGCGCTCGCCCGCACATCTGCAGCAGCATCTTCCCAGGGGAAGCGTGTTAACGAAAGCTTCGGTGGCGGCGCAGGGAGGAAAGGGCGATGTCTGGCCCTGTCCCGCAGGGGTAGGTGCCAGGGGCACAGTGGAGACACACACACGGCTCTGCTTTGTGCTGGAGTCAGTGCCCTCACCTCTGGTCTCCCCCAAACAGAAATTTCAGCCATTTGTTGGAAGAAAAAAACCCCTTTCGGCAGCTGGGTAATTAAAAAAAATCATTGGTGCCTGCCAAGCACCCCGAGGTATTGGCTCTGACATGTGGAGGTGGTAACATGGGATACCTGACACCACTTTGAGATTCTGAAGCATCTTCTGAACTAGATGAAGGGATGAAGAAGCCAGCGGGACCTGCTGGGTCCTCTGATGCGTTGCCTCCCCCTTGCCAAAGGGCAAGTTGCTGTGGGTCCATCCCGGGTTGCCCCTGCAAAGACACAGACCTGGGCTGCACCGAGGTCAGCCCCAACAACCCCGGAGCGTAGGGGCAAGACCCCTGGCTGTCCCAGCGCGGGTGCAGCCTTTTCCCTGAGCTTCTGCTCACACCCTCCATCCCTGGCTGCAGATTGCTGGAAAATCAGCCAGCAAGTCCTTTCTGGCTGCTTTCTGAGCAGGTTGCGTGCAGGTTTTGTTGCTTTTTATTTGGCTTTGCAAAATTTTGCTTTTTATCAATCGGTGTGGAGGACGGAGCCTGGTGCTCGGTGCCGCCGGCTGGGCCCCGCCGCAGACCCGCTGGCCCGTGGGCCACTGCCCGCCTGGTAGGCAAACGCAGGGTCTCCGGCGTGCGGAAGGGAGGCAGAGCGCGGTGCTGGCTGTCTCTTTAAGGTGGAAAAGGGAACTCTCTGGCTGCCACTTTGTGGAGTTTAGACCAGATCCCTGTTTTCATTAGCATTTCGTTTCATTTCATCTCCTCCTCTCCACCCCCCCACCCCAGCCCCACCTCCTCCGAATCAGCATTTCTGCCTCTTTTTCTGTGCATCACAGAGCGGCAGGTAAAAGTCTGGCTGGCACCTGCGCGCACACACACGCACACACACACACACTCACGCACCCCTGCATGCTGGACTCACCTCTACTGGGGGAGAGACACCTTCCCACGCTCCTGCGTGTTGCATCTTCCTCCTCACGGAGGAGCTGAGCTGGGAGCGTCCCCGTACTCGCCTCGGGGCTGCTCTGCCTCTCCTTTCTGTCTCTGGCTGCAGCAGCAGCAGAGCTCAGGCACGGAGGAGCTCGGTGGGATCCCGCTGCCCCAGGGGACAGAGCTCTGCAGGTAGCCAAGCCCAGCTGGGGGGCAGAGAGCCAAGCGTCGGGGGTCCAGAGCATCCCCAGCATCTGGAGTATCCTGGGATCCAGAGCATCCCTGTCATCTGGAGCATCCTGAGGTCTGGAGCATCCCAGCAGCCGGAGTATTCTGGGATCCAGAGCATCCCTGTCATCTGAAGTATTCTGATGTCCAGAGCATCCCAGCGTCTGGAGCATCCAGAGCATCCTGGGGTCCCGATTAGTCCCTGGTCCAGCACATCCAGAGCATCCCTGGCATCTCAGGCATCCTGGCACCCAGAGCATCCCCAGCCTCCCCAGTGTCCAGAGCATCCCCAGCATCCACAAGCCGTGTCCAGGGACATCCCAGTTCAGAGGGATTTGCAGGGACAAGGAAATGTGAGTAACGGGGAGGGGAACCTCGCTGCTGCTGATCGGCTCCTGGGAATGTCACTCTGCCCTGGTTGCCAGTGAAGAGAGAGAGAGGGGGAAGAGAGGGAGAGGAGGAGGAGAGGAGAAAGGAGGACGGACACAGAGCGAAGACGGAGAGATGGTACTTCTTCCCCTGGAGCTGGCTCCAGTGATGATCACCTAGCACAGCTCACGGCCGGAGAAGGTCCCCCCAGCTCCAGAGTCAGCCCCGCCAGCCGGCTCCTCATGGAGGGCGATTTGGGGGCCCCCAACGCCAGCGTGCTGGGGGAGCGCTCACTGCTGGTGGGGAGCAGCTGGGTGGCCGCTTTCCTCTGCTTCATCATCCTGCTGACCACAGCGGGGAACTTCCTCCTCATCCTCCTCATCGTCACCCAGCGCTCCCTCCGCAACACCTCCAACTACTTCCTGGTGTCCCTCTTCATGTCCGACCTGATGGTGGGGCTGGTGGTCATGCCCCCTGCCATGCTCAACCAACTCTACGGCCGCTGGGTGCTGCAGGGTGACTTCTGCTCCCTCTGGTACTCCTTCGATGTCATGTGCTGCAGCGCCTCCATCCTCAACCTCTGCGTCATCAGCCTGGACCGTTACCTGCTCATCATCTCCCCCCTCAAATACAAGCTGCGAATGACCTCCTGCAGAGCCCTCTGGCTCATCTTGGCCACCTGGACTTTGGCTGCGCTGGCCTCCTTCCTGCCCATCAAGATGGGCTGGCATGAGCTGGAGTTTGAGGTCCGGTCTCCAAACATCACCTCTCGGGCAGATGAGGACCAGTGCCGTCTGCTGGTCAGCTTGCCCTACGCCTTGGTGGCCTCCTGCCTGACTTTCTTCCTCCCATCTGCCGCCATCTCCTTCACCTACTGCCGCATCCTCCTAGCAGCCCGCAAGCAAGCGGTGCAGGTGGCTTCCCTCGCCTCCAATGTGGCCACCACCACCACCACCGACGAGACCACACCACAGGTAAGGTGGTCACGGTGACGTTGCTCCTTGCGGACCCCCCTGGTTTGGTGCCTTCAGGAGAAAGGGCTTTGGCAACTGCAGGGAGGGGTGTTTTGGCAACATCCACCTCCATGATGGGAGGATGGCTGCTCTGCGGTGTCCCCGGAGGTGCCGCGTGTCTTGTCCCAGCGATGGGGCGCTTTTAAGCTGCTCAGGAGCACGGAAACAACATAAGCAGAAGAGAGAAATAAATTAGATACAGGCGAAAGTGCTCAGCAGCGCAAAATAAATGCAGTTTCTCCCCCCTCTTGGCTAGCGTCATCCCGAGGGGTTTTAATCTTATCTGACTTTCCACTCGTAAATCTTGGCCGTAGTGGGCGTGAGACATATCGGGGAGAAGGAGCTTAAATAAGAGCAAATACCAAATTCTGGAGAGGACCTTTTTTTGAACAGCCCGCTTCTATTTTTGTTACCTGCTCTATAACAGGAACCGCAAAATACCTCCTTACTCGATCGCTGGTTAAACCAGTGTGTGTGTGTTTTTTATAACTGAAACGTGGCTGCATTTGTTTGTATTTCTCCAGGAGAAGGTAATTGCCACTAAACCTAACAGCTTTAATTCCTCGTAATAGGCTTTATTGACCTCATATCCTACAGAGACAAGACAAACTCAATTGCCTTTAAAATACCTTGATTTAGTTTGTTGTTCTCTGTCTTTTAAGAAAGGAGCCGGGACTCTCTGACTGGGGCAGTGCTCCCGCTTTCAACGGGAAAATGAGAATCAAAAAATAAACAGATAATATCATGAAATGTTTCTTTTTCCCCACGGATGCGTAGGTTTTGGGACTCTACAAACACAACCTGCTGCAGCCCTGCGGTGCTGCTGCGCTGGGGGGACCGGGGGATGCTCAGGTGCTTTGCTCTGCCGTGGAGAACCGACATCCGCCCGCCGTGTTTCAGCAGAGGCGAGTGTCCCGACAGATTCCGGGGAGCCCCGAATCGGCTCTCGGCGAGCAGAAAACAGGGTGTCAGCCAGGGAGCCCTGGGGTTTCATCTTTTTAACCGGGTTTTTGTTCTCTTTTTGGGCAGGAAGCTGAGTGGCAACGGGGCCTCATTTAATTACGGCGGAGGGCTGAGATAATAACTTAATTTTAGATTGCAAGAGCGGATGGAGGACTGAGTTAGTTATGGTGTCTGTAGGCTGAAACGTTTGGCATCCTGCTTTTAAAAATATAATTAGTTTGCCGCTCTAATCAGCAGCTAGAGCTGCCTCTTTAGGGCATGCTTTATCCTCACCAAAACAGTGACTGAGTTGGATGTTTCTGTAAAAGAAGCATCATAAAGCAGTCAAAAAAAACCCCAAACCTCTCAACGTTGAGGGTTTCTATTGCTTCCTCTTCCTGATTTATGGTTCATGGACTGGGGTCTGCGCCACCCTCCTGCCCCTCGCAAGAAGGTAAATATCAGCGGGGTTTTTTTGCAGGGTTTGCAGCACCAAACGTCACTTTTCTTGGGCGGGAGGCTGGTGCCGGTGCCGGCAGCTCCGGCCCGGGGAGAAGCGCTCGCTCACTGCTCCGTCTCCCGCTGCAGGATCCCTGCGCCCCGAGCCAGCCCGCAACCGGCAGCGAGAGCAGGAGGTTCGCCAACAAGCACAGCAAGAAGGCGCTGAAGGCCAGCCTGACGCTGGGCATCCTCCTGGGCATGTTCTTCGTGGCCTGGCTCCCCTTCTTCGTCACCAACATGACACAGGTAAGCACAAATGTTTGTGTTTGTTTTTTTTTAATGTTGGGTTTTCAAAAGCTTTTCCCTTTGAATCCAGCTGGGTTGGAACTCGGGTGCCTGCAGGTCTTGCTGGAAAGCCTCTGGGACCAAAGATGCAATTTCCCCAGGGAGCAACGGGAAGGAAAAACCCTTCGAAGGGTTTTTGAAGGGTTCCTTTGAAAGGGTTTTGAAGGGTTCCTTCGAAAGGAAAATGTTGGTGTGCCTGGGAAACCACTCTGGATTGGGGCCGAGGTGGGAGACGCTGCTAACCCTTGCTGTGTCCCCCCACCAGGCAGTCTGCGGCTGTGTCCCGGCCGGCTTCTTCGACGTGCTCACCTGGTTGGGGTATTGCAACAGCACCATGAACCCCATCATCTACCCGCTCTTCATGAGGGACTTCAAGAGGGCCATGGGCAAATACCTGCCCTGCTGCCGGCGCTCGGGGGAGCCCCGTCCCAGCGCCATCTCCCTCTCCATGAGGAACTCCAACAGCGGACCCCGCGCCGCCACGTCCCTCAAGAACGTCCTCACCTTGCAGGCAGAGACGGACTCAGTTGACTCCGGAGCGTTGGGGAATGAACACAGCCTGCTGCCGGCTGGCGATGGCCCCTGCGCTCTCCCGGCCCCCAGCACCCGCTTGGTCAACCTCTTCGAGGTGGAGCCCCTGGAGGCAGAGCTGCAGCCCAAGCAGCTCGGCACTCCCGTGGCCTGAGCGAGAGCATCCCAACGGGGGATTACAGACCTCTGTGTGCTGGGAAGGATCCTCCAGCCCCATGCAAACTCTCCGGAGGGACGATTTGCAGCAAGACGTCTCCCTGCCCACGCAGAGCTCATTGACACCCTCATCAAACGCAACGTGCATCTCCTTGGAGAAGACATCGTCACCAAGCACTTCTGCGGGTAGGTTTAAGTAGTGCAAAGCCACGTTGTACTGCTGAATTAATCTGCCTTGTTTCTCTCTCTTTCCATCCTTCCTTCACTCGCCGTCACCAATCCCTCACCCTCCTCCGAGAGCCGTGGCCTTTTCATCTGCGGTGAGTCTGAACCTTGGACTCCAGACCCTTCCGCCTGCCTTCGTCTCCCTGGACTCAAACCAAGGCTTGGTTTTCGGCTTCCACTCACACAGCTCGGCAGATCCCCTCTGGCTCACCAAGCGCACCGAGAGGACCAGTGGAAACCACATCCCCTCACTCACAGACAAGAGGTTTGGGGCTGCTCCGGTCCACAGAGCATCGCGTCTTCTTGGAGTTTCATTTCCTCGCCCAATTTGGAGTGTTACCTGTCTGGGTTTGCTGCGAAAGCAGTGAGTTGCAACACAGTGAAACCATCGTGTTTAATGACAAACAGCCTGTACTACGGGGGATTAAATTCCATGCGAAATGTTCAACGCTGCTTTTTGGCTGTTCAGCACAGGTGTGGGTGTTGGGCTGGTCTGTGGCTCTATGGGTGTCCCGACAGCGGGAAGTAATGGAACAAGCTTCTCTTTAGATTTCATCCTACAGCTTCCTATTTTTGGCATATGACCATCATACTTTGCTCTTACAATCCATCAATTTTTAGATGATGCAATTAGAAAAGATAATTTTTTTCTGCCTTCAAAGAATCTAAACGAATATTGTCTTTTAAATGACAACGCCAGCCCCCCCCGACCCTCCTCAGAGCCATAAGCTCTCATACGTAGGCACTTAAAAAAACCCAACCAAAACAACAAATGGTTTTGGGAAATTCTTCCTCAAGTGCCTTTGGGCTGCAGAGAGGGGTCGGTAGTTGGTTGCTGTGCCCTCCCTGGACTCACACCCTGCCAGCCTCGCTGCCTGTTTCCGAGCTCACGCTGCTCAGTTTAATTCCACTCCTGAAGCTCCTGACGGAGTCCAAAGCATCCCGAGGATACGGGGTGCTGGAAGAAGCAGCCACGCACCAATCAAGTCTCATTAGTTTTCTTTCCATGTTGCCCACGTATGTTCCAGAACTGAATAACAAGTATTTTTGTGACTAACTTGTCATTTATTTGTTACAAATCCCCTCGCAAGCGACGGCTGGCCCGGCAGTCAGTGATAAGTGACTGTGACAAACGGAGGACTGAGCACAGGTTCGAATGTCAAACCGGTTAATTCGTTTTTGCCACATATCTGTGGACAGATAGCTTGGGGTCGGTATCAAGCACAAAGATGAATATGTACATCTTTCCACAAATGGCTTTATATAAAAACATACTTTGACTACAACTCCAGTTAAAGAGGAGTAGAAAAATGCACGATGAACTCGGAAAGCCCATTAGGTACCCGCGTCAGCAGACACATCCGTCAGGAGACAGAGAGATGCCTCTTCAAGCCAAATGTTCAAAAGCAATAATATGTGACTCTCTCACTGAGCCAATTCTTTGTAATAAGGTGTTTGCTTGTGGACAAATCCTCTGATGCAGTAGAGAAATCGTATCCCGTATTTTCTGCAGCCAGCGGCATCACCGGCTGCCCGGTGAAGCAGGCCCGTCCCGGCGGGACCCCCCAGCCTGTCTCAGAGATGTCTCCCGTCGCTCTGCAGCGACGCACCGCGCCAGAAACAGAGCAGAACAGGTCCGAGCCCCCGCGGCGGGAGGAACCGGGGCGAGGAAAAGCCGGGCACCCTAGCCAGAGTTGCTGTGCATCGCCAGGTCGCGCTGCCGCCCCCAGAAACGGCCGTGTTTTCAACTTTGTGAGAAATAACCTGCAGGTAAGGTTTGCAGAAAGCCGGGGAGAGACAGGAGAGGTGGTTATTGAACCAGCTGTTGGGATGGGGAGTGGGGAGGAGGACTCTGTGTGAGTCAAAATCAGAAGCTGCAATTGCTCGGTTCCCCCCCTTATGATTCCAGGAGACCTTCCAGACCTGGATGTGGGAAGGTATTCATACAAACCGGCACTTGTTTTCAGACAGAAAAACACAGAGGTCTTCTCAGAAGGGGGTTTATCCCCTCGCAACGTTCCTGCTAGATGCGTTTTCTCGGGCTGAGCAGCAAAATAGGGCAGAAAAGGACCTTTTATGGAAGATGTGGCTCTGTCCCGTACTGCTTTGGAAGACTCTGCATGGCAGGGGATGTAACGCAGGGTCCCTCCTTCTGCTCTGAGGGGGAGAAGGGAGTGGATGCCAATTCGCTTTTATGGAATGGGGTAGAAATCAAACAGATTCATGTTTATCCTATGTCAAGTATTGGGTTTATTCTAAGCCAATTACAAAATACGTCTAGAGGGGGCTTTTAAGGCTGGAGATGTGTGTGGGACACAAAACGAAAGTCTCTGTGGGTTGCTGGCTTGCAAAGCCTGGGAGGAAGTTTCACAAAGTAATAAATCATAAAAAGCCCACTCTGTTTCTTCCGCTGTCTTTCACCTAGGGACTCAAAGCGTGTTTCTAATAGTAATGAGGCCTCCCAACACTCATCGCCCTCAGCTCGCAGATAGGGAAACAGCCTTGTCGATTGGAAAGTGCCCAAGCCCTGGCAGCAAACCTGCAGCAGATGGGGGAGAGAAGCCAGGTAGCCCGAGCCTCTCGCCTCCCCCGTTAGCAGAGCCGAAGTGCAGGCGCCGAGACATGCGTAGCCGGGCAGCCGGAGCCTGCAACGCACCTACTGACCTGAAACCCAAACCCCAAATCGACCGCTGGTGGAAAAATGTTTTTAATTTCCTAATGACGAGCCCCTCTCCATGATACGCTTAAAAACACCGACAGAGCTACCCGTTTTCCCAAGAGTTATATATCAGAGACACAGTCCGTCATGGTGACAGCTGCTTCCCTCAAGAACAGACCCAGTTTGCGCGAGGAGGGAAGTGCCGCCGCTTCCTGAGGAGCAATGCTGATTCAGGCAGGAATCAGCCCTTTCTCGTCCGTGGGAGATGCCGTGGGTGGCTGCTCCGAAAGCTTTGGTCCAGTGACATGCCGGTGCCACGCTCCAGGCTCCCAGGAGGGTCTGAAAACTGCAGCTACAGCTCTGCGGGCTCCACCGACACTCCTTTGGGAATCCCAGTGCAACGGACGGTGCTTTGAAAGCGGTTTTAGTGCTGGCTGAGCATCTCTGCCCAACACGAAGCGCTCTAATTTGTTCCTTTGCCTGCTGCCTGTTTCTTGCTGTCCCCGCTCGTTGAACAGTCTGGGCAGGGGAGCGATGTTTCTCCCAAGAGAGAGCTGGGGAAATCGCGGCTGTGAGCATGGCCGTCAGACGCATCCTCCTCTCGCACGGTGTTTTCCTGAGTCTCGCTGCCTGCTGCCCGCTGGGATTTCTCGGCTAGAGGGGAGAAAAGACTGCCGCTGCCCTTCTCTTCTAGCCGACACTCCTTGGTTTTAATGCCCACGGCTTTTAGGATCGTGTCCATTTGCTTCATGTAGTCCAGGTGGCCGTTTACCTGCAAGCCAACAAGAAGAGTCCCGTTAGTGGGGAAGCTGCGGGGAACCCGGCTCAGTCCAGTCCTTCATCTCAAAAGCCACCACTGCCATGAGATGTGGTTTCAGCTCTGAAAGGCTGAGAGAATGAGGTCGGAAAAATGCAGTCGTCCATTGAATAACCCCAGCTGGCTGCGCCCTTCGTGGCACACGCTGCTGCTGGATTGCTTTTCCTCTGGCAGATCTATGTTTAAACGTTTGGATGTCGCTGAGTTACAAACCCCCAGATCCTGGGTGCCACGAGGGTAAGAGAGGAGGTGATCTGCCACGGTGAGAGACGCCCAGGTAGGAGACACGTTGTCTTAATTCAACTCCCTGATCTCTGCTAAATCACGTGTCCTCCCTGTGCCTTAGCTCCCTTGTAAAAGCAAAGATTATCCTACTTAAATTAGGATATAGTCACTAAATCTCACAAGAGCTACTAAGCGTGTTAGGGTTCTTAGCTGGAAGGTGCACTGACCTGTCCCACACCATGTAAAACTGGGAGCCTGAGAGTTATGGGTTCATAAACCGAATTAAAGTCAACAATACCTGCAAAACTCCACATGTTTTTATTGTAAGGTGATTTCCATGATAAGATAAACCCTTCTGAGACAGATGCTGGAATACACCCTTCCAGTCAGGGCACAGGAGGGAGAGAAAACCTCCTCTGCAGGTTATTATTGTTATACGCTAAAGGCTGCCCGGCTGGAAAGGCAGAAACCGCCTCCTCTGTTTCAGGTGTCCTGTGCAAGCCCAGCGTTTCAGGTAACGACAGCCCGGATCCTTCTAGAGACCAGCCTGCAGATCTGCTTTGCTGTTGTACTCACAGCCAAAATGGGAGGAAGCGCTTGTGAGCGCAAGGTGGATTTATAGTGGGTTTTTCTGCGGAGGGGAAAAGCGCTGTCGGGCCGAGTCAAGGCTATTTTGGTGGTACACTCTCCAGCCGGCCTGTAGATTTCAGGAAAGGTTTAGGGGTATGATTTACATCCTAAGATATTTTTTAGCATCTTTGGTAAATTCTATTCCTAACAGTTTAAATCCTTCCTGACCCAGCCAGAAGGCTGCCTCAGGCAACACCACCTCTTATTTTCCCAAATCTTGCTAGTAATTAGGGAATTTCCACAGCAGGGAATACTCGACACCGCTGTCCCAGGTTTCCTGCTTCCCAGCTGCGTGTAGGGCTGCCCCAGGAAGGGGCTGGTCCGCTCGCACGAGACAGTGAGAGCTGTTTGCAGAGCTCTGCAGAGAAACCCAGCCGTGCACCCTCTGCTCCGCTCCCGCTAGCTCAGGCTGATGTCAGGCAGTCCTTCCCCGCTACGCCGA